TTTGTCACTGAAATGTTGATGTTTGAACAAAAAAGTTTTTCCTGGTGTATTCTATCAAGTACTGGCAAGTGTACATGTTTGAAGCAAAATCAAGCTTATCTCTATGTTTTTGCTTTTTCGCTCTCTGTTATGCGGCAGTATGGAACTGCTTCATTTGAACAGTGTGTCCAGTGAATGAATAGTAATTTAAAGGAATGCGGTGGTCGCATGAGCAATATTAACCACTATATTGACTGGTTTAATCGGCTAACTTACCTCACAGCATCCGAAGTATTACGCTGCAGCAAGCGACAAAGCCGCGTGCGCACTATTGAATATTTTATCGAAGTAGCCAGAGAATGCATCAATTATGCCAATTTCAATTCATTTATGGCCATTGTTGCTGCGTTATCACTTCCTCTGATTGGCAGACTCAAAAAAACAGTAATTTGTCTTTTTACTCTCCTCTTACTCATATTTGTATCAGCTGGCAGTATGCACAGCTCTGGATTTTTGAAGCCAAAATTTAAAGAACTTACTTCTTAATCAGCTGAACGATATTTCAGTACTTTTTTAATCTTAAATGCAACCAGTAAAAACACTAACTGTTTTTGAAGTTACTTTTTTCTTTTTAGGAATCAGTCTTTTTTCAATATTTTATTTTTGTGCTTTTGTCACATACCGAAAAAATGTTAATTGTCAACTTAAGCATTAATTAAAAAATGTTAATTGTTAACTAAAATGTTAAATAAAAAATGTCAATTCTTAACAGTTAGCAGTTAAAATGTTGATTGTTAACTGTTAACTAAAAGAGTCTTCTCAATCTCCTTTTTCCGATAGATCGTTAAAAATCGCTCTTTTCATTTTTATAAAATTTTAACTGCTGACCCAACCATTCGTGATGGACTTCGGCGTTGTGTACAAGATTTGCAGTGGAGTCGGGTAGACAAAAGCAAGCTGGAAATTCTTCTACATCAGTATGATCCAACAGCGAACTTTGCAAGCTATCGATCAACGCTTAAAGCAGCTATATGGCGATTCAATGGCACTACAAATGAAACACATTCCGTATCTTTTAATTATCTATATTTTTTCTTTTTCTGCAAAATTCATTTTTAGAGTTCCGATTTTGAAAAGGGGCAAAGGAGTGCATTAGGATAGGCAGCTTTGTTTATTCAGAGGCTTCTTATCCCTACACTGCTTCGGAGAGCCTTTACATTAATTTTATGTCGAAAATTTAAGCACATATTCCACTACGAGGATTTCACTGTTATATTTATTTTTTGCTTTCCAGATATTAATACCATTTTTCGGGCTGCTAATCAAAGACTTATCATTGTTGCATCGTCAGTGCGCACAACTGTTGCGAAATGGGCATTTAAACTTTAAGGTACGCCTTCTTCCTGTGAAAGCTTCGTTAAACTTTTGCTGGTTGCATTGACGAATCCAAGATGGAAGAGGGGAGAGGGGTCTTTCGCCCCCCTCCCCCTTTGGCCCTTGGCGTTGGGAGCAGTAACTGG